ACTTTCATTAACTCTGTTGCTCCAAAATATTTTTAACTCAGTGAGTGACATTCACTATTATACAGTCCACAGTGAAGTCAATACCCTCACTGAGTCACTAGAGGCAGAGTCACTAAGTCAAGACTTTGGAGTTAGTCAAATTCAATGTCTTTCTCTAGTTAGTCACCACAACAGAAACATTTTTAAGTGAACGAATACTCTAGGAAACTATGTAGCAACATGATTCCCTGTTGTCCAAACATGCCAATTCTAGACCCACTTCTTGGTTAGAGCACACATCAAGAGCACAGATAAAGGGCGTTATAACCTGATTAACAAGAATATTAACACTAATGTTCATTGTCGTCTTCCTCTTCTGCAGTGTCCAGCCACTCAAGCATCGGCTTCATTTGACCAAGAAACACGGACTTTCCTTTGGCCACATGTGCCTCGTCAAACCACTTGCGGATGGCCTGCTCTGTTAGCACGTCATCTGCAAACCAATTAATTTAATCACAACAAAACCAACTTCCTCTTAAACATACTTTTATAAAAGAGAAGAACAATTTTGTGGAACACCTTGAGAAAGTTCATGTTGTCATAGCAAAACTCCTGCATCTTGATAAGCAGAGTCAGTTGCGGTGTTCCTCTAACACAGAAAGGCAGGAACACAGGTGTGTAGTCCTGAGGGTATATACACAACAAGTTAGTACAACATACCCTAAATGATGCACACCATAAGATGTTTAAGTGCTTGCTCTGCTGCGAGCTCATCCTTCTTGTTCCACTCCACACTGTCCATAATACATCTCCACAGCTGCACACACACACACACACAGCATGCACGCACACATACACACACTGTTGGCCAATGACACAGTTGACCTGCAAACCACTTACCAACACAGTGACATCCACGTCAGTCAGTTGGGCCGTATCCATGTGCTGCTGACAACGGTCAATGATCTCCTCAGACGAAGAGTCCGCGTCCAGCAGCTCCTCCAGCTCCTTCTTTAGAGCTCTCCTCTTCTCTGCACTCTCCTGGGCCCTCCTGTACTTGACCAGGACTTCCAGCCCTGCACCTGAGAAATGCTCGTCAAACAGAAGAGCTGACTGCTGACTAGCTGGCAAAAAGTCCTGTGGGGGGGTTAATGGGAGAGTCCACTGGAACCACATAGCAGAGGGTTACTTACAGTCAGTCTGGCTTCTAGCTGGGCCTTCCTCAGAGCACTGCCTACGTGGCCTATGTTCTTCTCAGACAGCCACGTCTGGAAGACCAACGTTACAAACTGGAGACTCATTCCCTCTTTCACCAGTACTTCACTGCAAGAGGCACATCTTAACACACCACCAAACAACATGGCATGCACTACCTAAGAAGGCTGGTGAGGATCGATGCTGGGACCAGCACTTCCGACAGAAGGAGACCAGTATATATGGCCAGTGAACGACGCTCCGAGTCCTGGAAGCCCTTTAGAAACTTTAGTATTTTCTTCATCTCATCCTCCAGCCCTTTCTTGAGGTACTTGTACCGCTGCAGGACTCTAGTCATCACCTGTAGATAACAGAGGGGGGCAAGAGTTCGGGATAGCAGCCACAGGCTAGAACGTACCACAAGGTGGCCACGAATGGCCTCCACCTTTGGCTCGCATTGGAACACCGACACGGGAGATATGGCGGTTCCCTCCACCTTCCCTCCTCCAGGCGCCAGCACCCCTCCGGCAACCAGAATGTCCAGTAGCGGTTCCCCGTACCTCCTGTGAGGGTCAAGGATGGACCGAAACTGAGCCTCGGAACTAGGGAGGCCGACCTATAGTCCAACTGCCCTCCCGCGTTGTCCAGGAACCGTCTCACTTCGTCCAGGTTCCCGCCGCTCTCACGCAGTCCAGCAATCAGCTGCTCGGAGAACGACGTCACATCTAGCTTCACTTTCTCGTCCCTCTTTCTCGTCTTAAACTTGGTTCCTCCTAATGTAGGTTTGGCCTCCTTCGTTGACCCACCGGTGGCAGCCATTATTAATACTATCTGCGCGTTGCGTGCGCATGCGCATGACACTTACGAATTGTGAAGAAATTCTTAGGTACGGTATATACTAAGGCAAGAAATATCAATACTAGGATGCAGCAGTTTCCTTTCCCTTGTATTGTCTCTTGCCATAGGAGAACGGCAGGTACCTGTAGCGAACCATGTGCTGGGAAAAGGAAAAATGGAGGATAAGATAAGGAGAGGTTAATGAGAAAAACCGGCCAACCATTATCTGCCTCTTCATAGTGATGCTGAAGAGAATGATAAAGTAGAGTACAAGGATAGGCCAGAATACAGGAATGTTGAAGATGGAGAAGAAAGTCAATACAAAAGCTATCACCACTGCACGAGTCCCCGAGTACCTGGAGCATTACACAGCATTCAGAGGCCAGGGTGGGCATCAGTGACACTCACCAGAACTTGAACTCAGGTAGTCTTCTCACAAATGGCTTGAACTCTTGGTTTGAACTAGTTGGGAGCCCAGGACCATCCGCTGTAGATAATAATAGTAATGCCAACTACACATTATAGAGGGGAGTGCAGACCAATGTCATCTTCTTCCCTCTGAGCTGGGTCGAATCTCGGAGTCAGGAAAGCAATGAACAAGTTGAGAAGGTAAATGGCCAGAGCGTATGACACAATGTACCATCCTCCGAGCCAAACAACTCTCAGAGCATAGCACACCACAATGAGCACTGTGGCCAGCCAGCGGAACGTGGAGTGCGGCACCAGGTCATCCAGTAACTTCTGGTACCTCTGCAGGCCACAGAGTCCGTCATACGACTAGGCCAAGGTCTACAACTCACAGCGTTGAGTTTGCTCCAAGTAGACGGGGCTCTTTTCGTAAACTCTCCCTCCAGATCTGCAGGCAGAGTTTCAGCAGCTCGCTCACTTACTATTCCCTAACAATCCTCACACTCACCTCCGTCGGCCATTGGAGCTGACCACCCTCTCTAGCAATGCCTGGTCTCCCCTAGGCCCTTCCTATCTCTCCCCTCCCCTTTTGCCACGCGGCGCGGAATGGCGGGCGCGCATGTGCGACAGACGTATCCCGCCCCGTCGGCGCGGCATGCACACGTATATACCTATATGACACGTCTCCATAAAACTGATTTCTCAAACAATAAAAAAAGAAAAAAAAAGAGGGCTAGGTCTCCGGAGGTGCCAGGAGCTGTAAGAGAGAGAGAGAGGAGAGTGGAGGAAATGGACCTCCAAAGTCTGCTGGCAACTGAGAGTGGAGGAAGTGAGTGCGGAATGAGTCCATGTCAGAGCCATGCATATGGATCTGTCAGCAGAGAAGAGATGAAGTTGGGATAGACTGTGTGACTAGAGAGGCTTACTCTGTCTTTGAACTTCTGTTTCAGGAAGGGCTTTGCTATTTTGTAGAGAATAGAGAGGTACCAGGGTTGCCGGATCATGTGACAGCTCTTGAACCGAGCAGGGAATGCTTCCTGCAGGGTTCACAGACAGTAACTCACTGAG